CAAGATTCTTCTCCACCCTGTACAAGTAAGCAGTGCCTTTCTCCTAGTTGGCAAAAAATTAAAAGTTTACTTTGGAAAGTTTGACAGGACAACTGAGATAGGAGGGGTCCAGTGGTGTGCTGGAGGCAGCTTGTACCAGTGAAGTCTAATTGTTAGATATTAAGAAATTATTACATCGGCAGTAGCTTGGACCTGAACATGATGGGAGTATTTAGCACTAAAGAAATTGACAAATGCTGCAAATCTGCTCCCCCTCCCACACACCCCCAGCGTACCACTGGGAGTATTATATTGAAAACAGAATGAAGAGTCTAAATACTGAATGGTAAGACCTCCATCCCACTTTCCCTGTTCAGAGGTCAGCTAGGCTTATAACTTTCAAGCAGAGAATGGATGATTCTTTTCTGGGGAAACTAGTCTACCCAAGAAAAGAGTAGAGATGCTACTGTTAAATTCTCCCAGTGGAAAAGCCAACTAGATTAACCAATAATGAAGGCCACTGTTTTACAAATCTTTCAACCAGCTTTGAATACCTCATTCTTAAATATGAACAGTCAGTCAAGAATCAATGGACAATTGAAGAAAAGTCTCCAAAATGAAATACAGACTAAACAAACAGCATCATGAAAAGAACTCAGAGAAACTCAGGCAATACCCTTTGTTAAGGAAAATATATTAATTCAAAAAATTAGAACCCAGAGGCTATAGAAAATTCATAGAATAAAATAGAGTCCTTGAAGTAAAGCTTATTACAGGCATAAGAAAGCAGTGAAAACTTTGAAAGATAGTATTGAGATATCCTTCAAGAAAATGTAACTGAAAGACAAAAAATGTGCGTGTCAGTCATTTCCTGTCACAACCCATACATTCATCTAAAAGAAACTGCCCCGTTTTTGCCAGTTTCATTTTTTTAGAGGCTCTATCCTTCCATTCAAATTTGAACCCATTGCTCTCTAAGTCAGCTGCACAGATCAAGTTCTTTCTTCACATTTACCTTGAGGATTCCCTTCTCTTTTGATTCCAACTCATATCAACTCTGTATGATCCAGTAGAACCTCCCCGTAGGCTATAATCTTTAAGGGTCTTTTTAGGCTGAGCAGCCAAGTGCTTAACTATTTCACTACCATGGCTCCCTATCATGCCTAGTCTGGTGTGGTGCTGTGCGATAAGTATTGAACTGCTATCTGCAATAGGTTCAAACCCACCAGCCGTTCCTCAGAAACCCTAAACAGAATCATTATGAGTCAGACTTAATTGCATTTAACCATAACCGAAAGACAGGTATGAATATTGTTGCATCCCTGGGTAATACAAATGTTAAATGCTCAGCTGAAAGGTTGGAGATCTGAAGTCACCCAAGATGTCTCAGAAAACATCAGAACATCCAGTGAAGCTTTGAAAAATCCTATGGAACAGTTCTACTCTGCACACATGAGTGGGAATGTACTTGACAGCAGATAACCAGAAGAAGATAAATACCATAGTACATTGTCTCATGCACTACTTTGTAATTTGTATATCTTTTTTCTAAGCTTTATTATGAATTGAGTGAAGGTTTACAGGGTAGATCATCAGTTTTGCATTCAATAAATCATTGCAATGATTACTGTCCCCTCCATGTACCATCAGTTAACAGTATTAACCTATATTGCCTCCCCCCTTTTTTTGATGTACACATACCACACTGAATATACATATTCATTTAAATGACCAAAGGGCACATTTTGCAATCCAGCCTCCTGCCCTCCGTCACACCGCAATTGCCCTATCTCTCTATGCCATCCCCTCTGCCACCCTCTCTGTTGTCACCGTTTTTCTGGTTAGGATCCCATGTTCCACTCATTCTCTTCTCTTTTGATAGTCATAGGGTTTTGACAGATTAACTGCAGCCCCCTTTCACTTACACCTCTTCTACAATTACAGTTGTGGCAATCACCATTAGTCCTGATAACAGTTACTCACAATTAAATCATAAAATCCTATCCTTATCATCCCCCATCCCCTTTCACCAGACCCACCTGGACAAGAGTAAAACTATTCAATGAGGATTCTATTTTACCCCTCTCTTTCAGACACTAAGCACCCTCATGAAAGCTTCTTAACCAGCCACTTTTTACCTTTATTTGTTGTTGATGTTAAGTGCTGTTGAATTGGTTCTGATTCATAGTTACCCCATATAGGGTTTCTGAGGAGCAGCTGGTGAGCTTGATCCACAGACCTTGCAGTTCAAACATACTTTGTATGTAGTCCAGTGCATTAACCCACAGTGCCACATCAAGACTCCTCATGCCTTTATAGCTTCCCATTTTTGATAGCCAAAGTCTAAGATGCCCATCCCTATCAACCCAGTGTACTGAGAAGGCAAACTTGATACTTAATATGAAGAATCCTTTCCTTTTGGTTGGAATTTTGGGCAACTTCATCTATAAGCAAAAGTCCAGTTTATCATATTGTAGCAATTTATGCTTGCTCCCTGTATCAAACTTCTTTATCTGATCGGGTTCTGGTCTGCTAATCATCCAAGCTAGGTCAAATAGATAGGACTATCTGCAAGTATGGGAGTTCTTGGACTCCTCCCCTGACTTCTGACCAGCTGGCTGCTGCACTCTTAATGTTTTTGGTTTCTTGTAGTAGTGTTTTGTAATTTTCTTTGAATATGTCTTTTGTTTCTCTGGTTAGATTTATTCCTAAATATTTCATCCTTTTGGTGACTACTGTAGATTGTATTGTTTTCTTAATTTCCTTTTATGAGATGTCTTTTTTAGTATAGAGGAATCTAATTGATTTTTTTAATGTTGATCTTGTACTTTCCCATTTTGCTGAATCTTCCAGTCAGTTCCAGTAGTTTTTTTGCTGAGTGTTTGGGTTTTTCTATGTTTAGGATCATATCATCTACAGATAAAGTTTTACTTCTCCTTTACCAATTTGGATGCTGTAATTTGTATATTTTCTTAAATATAGTATGCTGTCTACAGGCTTTAAAACATTTGTTAGAATGTAGTTAAATATCTGTTTATTAAACACCATTATAAATATTCAGAAAATGTCCTATTATCATTCACACCTAGAAATTTAAAAGAGAACATGACTTTTGCATAAATCATTATCTTAAAGTAGAGGCAATACAAACTAAGGACTCATTGGGTGCTCTCAAAGTGCATAGCACTTTATGAACTGGAGAATAGAGAACTAGAGAATAGAATCTTCAGGTTAAAATTATATATTTGTCTTATAATGCTTTTTACTAGGTTAGTTGCCATAACTTTACATATTTATATATTTACTTATTGATATTATGATGTAACTGGGAGTTCTTAAAATAAGTGGAATATTTTGCAGTCTTTAAAATGAGATAAATCTATTTGTGGTGTTGAGTGTGTATTACTGAGTCAGTTCTGACTCATAGCAACCCTTTATAGGGTTTCTGAGACTGTAAATCATTATGGGAGCAGAAAGCCTCATCTTTCTCCTATGGAGTTGTGGGTAAACATGAACTGTGACCTTGTGGATAGCAGCCCAGTTTGTAATCCATTACACTACCATGGCTCCTTTGATCTCTATGTAATGATATAGAAAGTAACTAACATATATTGTTCATTGTTGATTTTTAAAAACAGATTACAGAGTAGTGTAGTATTATGGTACAGTATCATAGATATGTATTTTTTAAAACGTTTTTATTGTGAACTGAGTGATAGTTTACATGGGAGAACATTGGTTTTATACTCATAGTTTCATTGCAATAATTACAATCTCCTCTGTGCATCATCATTCAACAGTATTTGCTTCTATTCCCTCTGTTTGTTTGATTTTTGGGGGGAGATGTACACAAAAACACTTAGAAACATATAATCATTTAAACAACCAAAGGACACATTCTGCAAGTTTGCCTCCTAGCCGCTAGCACTCAGCCTTTCTCTTTCCATAGGTCTAGTATCCTCAGCTGCCCTCTCATCTATATTTTTTAAGATATATTTTACATACTTGTATGCTTATACATGGTGGTGCTGTAGGATAAGCACTGGACTGCTAATGCCAGATCATCAGTTCAAACCCATGAGCCACTCCTCAGAAACCCTGTACAGCATTACTATGAGTTGGAACTGACTTGATGTCACATAACAACAACAACATGCTTTTATACAATTTTTGGAAGGTTGCAAAAGAAATTGCTAGAGTGGTTATTTCTGTGGAGGAGAAATGGAGAACTTTCAGTTTTCGTTTTGCACAATTTTTACCGTGAGTGTACATAGCTTTAATAATAATAAACAGATGAACTTAAAAACTCCAGCTATATTGGACAGGTATGTAAGAGATTTTAACAATTTTTCTTTTATACACATTTACTTGGATTATCAACAGACATTGATGAAATCTAGTAATACTGGTGACCCTGACTTTAAAACTTACCTTGTTTTAGAAAAAAAAATGGTAGTATTGTTCATCTGTAAAGACGTTTTTAGGGAGAGATAGTGATTCTGTTGTGCCAATTTAATGAAGTAATTAAGTTAATATGGTAAGTATTTAAGCTCTACTAAAAAAGTGTTCATTTGAAATTAGAAATTGAAATTGTATTTAAGAGTTTTCTAGTCACTTAATTCCAAGAATAAATAGATAAAGGAAAAAAAAGGTTCTGTGGTTGTTAATTTTTTTTTTTTTTAGTAAGGTAAGACTGGATTATGCTACACTTCGTATTTTTCAGTGCTGTACTTTATATTACTTTTTCAGTACATTAAAACTTATGCAGTGAAACTGAATAATGGCAATGTTTTTATACCCTTTTATAGCCCTTTCTTTTTCATAACCTCCCCCTATTTCCTGTTAGCTCAACTATAAGCACCTTTCTGTTAATTTATGAAAATTATTGTTGAGATAACACATTATCACTGATCTGTATGGCACTTTCAGCATGTTGAAAGCAAAGGTCCAAGCAACATAAAACACATCAAACTTCATTAATGTGGTATTGATTATTTTTTGGATAATTAATTTTATTGCAGATCCTTGAAAGAGATAATGAGCTGCAAAGGGAGAAGGTAAAAGAAAATGAAGAAAAGTTCCTTAATCTTCAAAATGAGCATGAGAAAGCACTAGGAACTTGGAAAAAACATGTAGGTTTATTAAGTAGTAAACTATTAAACTATTTTAGGTAACTATAGACATTTAAAATAACTATTAAAGGCTAAGAAAATAGTGCAAAAATAATACAGGAATAAAGTCAGACACAGTTGTGGTTTTTTTGCAGTCATATTTCTAAGAAATGAATGCTTTTTAAAAGCTAAATTTAATAAAATTTCCTTAATGTTTTCATGCATGGAAGACCACAAATATACAAGTGTGTGTGTATAATTTGAATAGCTTCTCATATATGACAAATAAATAGTTATTTTTTCATAAAACCATTGCATAATATTTTATTTAAAAATTTAAGTAAGTAAGTATATATATAGGTATTATCATTAGGTGACATATTTAGCTTTCCTCAGCAGTTTTGTTGACAAGTATCAAAGCCATTTTAGACCATGTATGCAGTACTTAAGTTCGATGGTATTATTTTATCGTAAGAGTTTATTATAAATTTAGAGCTATGTTATAAACATGACTATTTCCTTAAAATGACTCTAACAGGCTAAATAAAGCTATGAGATTAAAAGGAAATATAAACTCAAATATGCTAATCATAATCCCCCCTTCCAAAAAAAAAATCGGTTGAGATACAAAAATGAAACATTAATTTTCTCTGGAGAGATCCCCTAAGGGGGGGAAAAAAAATGACTGATTTAAGAAAATAGGCCTTTAGTTTCAGTGGTGATACCTCAATATATAATTTGGATAAAATTGGTTTTGCCCAAGAAGTTTTAGATGATATAGTCATTTTATAACCATTATGTTTTAGTGTAGCGGAAGAAGAAAAAGCTGCTTTGGTTCTCTAAGAGTTTTCTTGATTGGTGGGGCAGAACTCTTTAATTTTATTTCTATCTCTGTGTAAGTTTTTCACTGTTCTTTGGTGAAGGAGAATTACAATATGATTATTAATATGAGGTCAAGATTGGTTTAAAAAAATAAAGATACTGACATGGATAAGTTGTAATTACATAAATTGTTCTGTTTTATTTGGCCTTCAAAAATAAACAATGACAGAAAGGACTGTGCAGATATTAAGATATACTAATACTATTAAATAATGTATTTAAAATTCATTAAAATTATGAAGAACAGTGTTATTGTGTCAATTTGATTTTGGCTAGCCAGGTGCTCATTTTTAACTCTTCCCTATTGCCTTACTATTTAATAAAGAATGAGGAAAATCATGGAAGCCCCCAAATGTGCATTTTCAAGGGTGATTAATCTGATCTGAAGAAAACATAAGATATATGAAATATGACATTGGAAAATTAGTTAAGATCTGCTTCTGCAGGGCTCCTCAATAAGGCAGTTGAATTTTATTTTATAGGCAATTAGGAGTCATTGAGAGTTTTTAAACAGAGATGTGACATAGACCTGTGTTTTAGAAAAAAATTCTAACAACAATATGGAAAATGGCTTTATGAAAAGAGCCCAGTAAAAATAATATTGCAGTAATCTAGCCATGAGCCTTGTTGTTAAGTGCCATCAAGTCTGTTCTAACTCATAGCAAAACTTATAGGGTTTCTGAGGAGTGGCCTGTGAGCTTGAACCACCAACCTTGTGGTTCAAAATGACCTTGCAGTCCAGCACATTAACCAACAGCGTCACACTAGAACCCTGTAACCTGTGAGGGTATAAATTCAGACGACAATAATAAGAACAGAGAAGAGAGATAGATGCAGGGGACATTTTGGAGATAGAGTTGGCAGAGTTAGTGATTTTTGTATAAAATGGATATTGAAAGAGAAAAAGTCAACTATGACTCTGTAATTATTATAACTAGTCGAATAATAATGTCATTAACTGACATAAGGAATGTAAAAGAAGAAACAGATTTAGGGGATGAAAATAATTAGTTTAATTTAGGAATTGTTGAATTTATGGGGCCTGTAGGAGTCCTGGTGTGGTGCTGTGGGCTAATGCGTCAGACTGCAGTCATTTGAACAGCAAAGTCGGTAGTTTGTGTTCCTTGGAAGCCCTATACAGGGTCGCTATGGGTCAGAATCGATTCGATGGCACTAAACAACAACAAACAGGCTCGGATAAGATGTGACTCTAAGGAGAGAGAGTGGGGGAGAAGATATAAATTTAAGATTTATTAGCATAATGATGAAACTTGAAGTTAGAGAAGCAATATGGAAGGAGTAGAAAACTTGAGACAAGTACTGAAGAGAGAAACACTTTGGGGAATTACAGACTTTCTGAGTGGCTAATATATTTTTTTAGAGTAAAAGGGGAGATAAAAAAGAGAAGAGGATCATGGTAGAGTAGTATCATGGGAAGTCAAGAGAAGAGGATGCTTCAAGAACAGAATAGTCAAAGGTTACAGAGCTCCTAAATGGTATGAGACTTAAGGAAATGCTTTTGCTTATTTGTGGGTGATATTAGCAAAAATGATCAATAAACCAAAGAAGGCAGAAGTCAGGTTATTAACTAGTGATGAAAAGTTAGAATTTGAAAATAACAAATGAGGACTATTTTAAGAAGTAAGAGAGACAGAGCAGTTGGATCAAGAAGGAAAGAAAAAATTGGGGAATGTGAAAAGAACATTTTTGCAAGTTGAGGGGGAGATGCTGTAGAGGGAGTGACTTATCTTGTGTCATATTTGAAGAAACCCTATACATGGTTGCTTTAAGTGAAGAGGACTTAAAATATTTACTGATGAAGATCAAAGACCATAGCCTTCAGTGTGGATTGTATCTAAATGTAAAGAAAACAAAAATCCTCACCACTAGACCAATAAACAACATTCTTATCAGTGGAGAAAAGATTGAAGTTGTCAAGGACTTCATTCTTCTTGGATAAATTATCAACACTCATGGAAGCCGCAGTCAAGAAATCAAACAACATATTGCATTAGGCAAATCTGCTGCACAAGACCTTTTTAAAGCGTTGAAAAGCAAAGATATCAGTTTGAGGACTAAGGTGTTCCTGACCCAAGCCATGGTATTTTCAATAACCTAATATGCATGTGAAAGTTGGACAGTAAATAAGGAAGACTGTAGAAGAATTGATGCTTTTGAGTTATGGTGTTGGAGGAGGATATTGAAAGTGCCATGGGCTGCCCACAGAACCAATAGATCAGTGTTGGAAGAAGTGCAGCCAGAGTGCTTCTTGGAGGCCAAGATGACCAAACTTCGTCTATCATACTTCGGACATACTGTCAGGAGGGACAAGTCGCTGGAGAAGGATATCATGTTTGGTCAGGTGGAGGGTCAGAGAAAAAGGTCTCAGTGAGATGGATTGGCCAAGTGGCAGCATCAATGGGCTCAAGCATGGCAACAATAGTGACGTTGGCTCAGGGTCGGGCAATGTTTCATTCTGTTGTGTGAGTCGGCACTTATTCGATGGCACCTAACAACAACAAATGCAGGGTTGCTATGAGTCAGAACTGACTTGATGTCACTTAACAACAACACGAAAGAGTACTCTATGGCTTATGAGAGTTTATAGCCAGTGAGAGCTCATTTATAGATGCAAGAAATTAGTTGAAGTGACCATTTCTGTTATATTACTTAGTGCGCTGTACTCTTCATCTGAAATCTGCTTTTGAATCTATTTTAACTTACAGCAACTCTATAAGACAGAGTAGAACTGCTCCATAGAATTTTTGAGACTGTAAATCTTTACATGAACAAACAACCCCTGACTTTTCAGTTAGCAGCCCATCACTTAATCCACTATGCCACAGGAGCTACTCATTCCTCATCTAGTTGACTTAAACTCTATATATCCAATTTGTAAGAAGAGAATAAAACTTTTGGGAAGCAATGAAGATTTCTCATAGTATTTTTATAGCATTTTTAGAATTAAAATATTTCATCTTTTTTCATTTGTAACAAGAGCTAGTTTAATGTGGTAATTAAGAATACAGCCCTTAGATTTAGTTTTGGTTTATATCCTGACTGCCATTTTATATCCATGTCATCTTGGACAGGTAGCTTGATTTCTGTGGAGCTGATATTTCAGGATAAAAATAACACATGATACCAATGTGTTATTCTGAGTACCAATAATCATTCGATAAATAGTAATCATTTGATATCTTCTAATATTAATACTTTATGATTTTTATTTACTTTAACCATTTCCAAAAACCTGTGTTAGTGAAGTATTCTATGAAACATTTATAATTAAATTAAATTTATAATTAATAGGTTGAAGAACTTAATGGAAAAATTAATGAAATTAAAAATGAATTCTCATCACTTAAAGAAACTCATATTAAGTTACAAGAACAGTATAACAAAATATGTGATCAGCAAATGTTTGAGGAAGACAAGAACTTACAGGTAAAATTCAAGTATGTTGGGGGTATAAAACTGCTATATTAACGTTATCACTAATGATATTTTTCCTGCTATATACTTTCAATTTCTTAATTAAAAAAAAAAAAAAGAATGTAAGCAGGTTGCCTATAATACATTTTCAACTGATTTGCTGTGTACAGTGTAAGGTAAAGACTAAGGCCTTTTTTGTAGATATGGGTCTCCAGTTGTTCTAGCACACACATGTTGAATGTAGTATTCTTTCTATCAAAGTACTTTGGTACTTTCATTGAAAATCAATTGACCAGATATATGTGTATCTGTTTCTGAACTTTATTATGTTCTATTGATTCTATATCTTAAGCCAATATCACATTATCTTTTTATGGTATAGCTTTTAAAAAAAAAAAAAATCTTAAAATGAGGGAGTATAAGTCCTAAGTCCTTCAATTTTGTTGCTCTTTTTCAAAATTGTTTTGACTATTTTAGGTCATTTGCATCTCCATATAACATTGGGTCAATTTGCCAAATTCTAAAAATATCTATGAGAGTTTGACTGGGCTTGGGGTTAATGAATAGATTAATTTGAGAGAATTGACATCTTAAAAATATTGAGGCTTCCAATCCATAAATATGGTTTACCTTTCTATTTACTTAAGTATTGTTAAATATCTCTCAGTAATGTTTTATAAATTTCATTGTACAGGACTTAGTAAATTTATGAATACTTCATGTTTTGGGATCCTAATATAAATAGTGTTTACATTTTTAAATTGTTCTTTGCTAATATATAAACTTATATATACTTTTAAATTAACTTATTCGTTTTAGTAGTTTTTGTTGTTGTTAAATCTTGAGCTTTCTGTATACATGATCATGTTACCTATAAATTTAAGGCTCTTTTACTTTTTTTCTATTCCATATGCATTTTATTTATTTTTCTCAACTTCTTTTGCTAACTAGGACCTTCTAGTACAATGCTGAATGAAAGTTGTGAAAGTGGCCATGCTTGCTTTTTTTCTCATCTCAGGCGGAGAGTATTTAGTCTTTTACTGTTTCATATTACGTTAGGTATAGATTTTTATATATCTCTTTTATCAAGTTGAGGAAGTTCTCTATTCCTTGTTTGCTGAGCTTTTACCATTGAATAGGTGTTAAATTTTGTCAAATGCTTTTTCTGTGTCTATTTATATGATCTTATTTTTCTATATTATGTTGATAAGAAGAACTGCATTAATTGCTTTCCAAATGTTAAAATAATTTTGCATTTCTGGAATAAACTCCAGTTGGTTGTATTATCCATTTTACATATGCTAGATCTGGTTTGCTAATTTGTTAAAAAGTTGGCTTATTAGTTATACTGCTTTCCTTTATGTTTTTGTTACCTTAGAGCAAGGATCAGCAACTTTTTTTCTGTAAAAAGACAGGTGGTAAATATTTTGTATTTTACAAGCCATATATTCTCTGTAACAACTGCTCAGCTATGAATTTGTATCACAAAAGCAGCTAAAGATAATGGATAAACAAATAGGCATGGTTGTACACCAGTAAAAATTTATTTACATTCACAGAAAATGGGCTAAATTTGACCCTCTGGCCATCGTTTGCCAACCCCTGCTTTAGAGTTTAATTTATCACAATATACTTTCAAATAATGCTATACCAAATACTCTGGTAAAGTAAGAAGCTTAGAATAGTTTATCTTCATTTTCTCCTTCCTGTCCTTTGTGCTATTATTGGTACACATTTTATTTCTCCATATATTATAAACCCAACAATATACTGCTATTTATTTTACCATAAACAATTGGTTATCTGGTAAAGAAAATTAAAAATTAAATAAGATATTTTATAGACATCCATATTTATCATTTCTAATACTTTTCATTTTTTTGTGTAGATACAGGCTTCCACCTAATATCAAATTTGTTCAGTCTCAAGAACTTTTTTTAACATTTCTTTTCTCTTTTAGGTTTTTATTGTGAACTGAGTGATAGTTTATAGGAGAACATTGATAGCTTATAGGAGTACCATCATTTCATTGCAATGCTTACAATCTCCTCCGTGCATCATCATTCAACCATATTTGCTTCCATTCCCTCTATTTTTTTGGGGGGTGGGGGTGGGGGTTGTTGTTGTTATATGCCGTGGAGTTGGTTCTGACTCATAGTGACCCTGTACAGGGTTTCTGAGGCTGTAAATCTTTACAGGAGCAGAAACCTCATCTTTCTTCAGTGGAACAGCTGGTAGTTTTGAACTGCTGACCATGAGTGAAGCAGCCCAGAGAAATGTACACAGAAACACTCAGGAATATATAATAATTTAAACAACCAGAGGGCACATTTTGCAAGCCTGCCTCCTGCTCACCAGCACTCCGTCCCTTTCTTTCCGTGAGTCCAGGGTCCCCAGCTCCTCCCTTTCTCCATGTCCTCATCTCTTCCTCCATCTCTGGTGTTGCTGCTTCTTTGGATAGGGTCCCACATTCCACTGGTTCTCTCCTCCCTTGATGGTTCTAGGGTCCTCTGTTTCTGGGCTGTAAGATTAACTTCTTCCCCGTTTTTGTTACAAAACTTTTACCTTTACAATTATGACATTTGCTTTAGCATCGCTACCCTAGAGAGCAAGTTTTACAGTCTCCTCTGACACTCATTTTTGTTTTTTACTTCTTTCTTGTCTTCTTAATGGCCTTTTGCTTTCTTCGCATATGCTGTTCTTGGTGTTAGCCCACAACTCTTCTGGTCTTTGTCTTTAGTGTCTGATTCATGAAATCTGTGCTTCAAATTATCTCTAAATTCAGGTGAGATATGTTCAAGGTCATATTTTGGCTCTCGTGGATTGGTTTAATTTTCTTAAGCTTCAGCCTAAACTTGATTATGAGCAATAGATGGTGTGTTCCACATTCTGCCCCTGGCCTTGTTTTGACTGATGATATGGAGCTTTCCCACCATCTCTTTACACATATAGTCAATTTGATTTCTGTATATTCTATATGGCAAGGTCTATGTATATGTTGTTGTTGTTAAGTACCATGGAGTCAGTTCCGACTCATAGTGACCCTACACAGGGTTTCCTATGTGTATAGTCGTCTTTTATGTTGCTTAAAAAAGGTATATGCAATGAAAAAGTCATTGGTCTTGCAAAATTCTATCATGTGATCTCCAGCATAATTTCTATCACCAAGGCCGTATTTTCCAACTACTGATCCTTCATCTTTGTTTCCAACCTTTGCATTCCAATTGCCTGTAATTATCAATATATCTTGATTACATGTTTGATCAATTTCAGACTGAAGAGATTGCTAGAATTCTTCAATTTTATCTTCACTGGCCTTAGTGCTTGATGCATAAATTTAAATAATAATTATATTAACAGGGATTCCTTTTAGCTATATATATATATATTATCCTATTACAAACAGCATTGTCCTTCAAGACAGATCTTGATATGTTCTTTTTGTTGGTGAATGCAATGTAATTCCTCCTCAATTTGTCATTCTCGGTATAGTAAACCATGTAATTGTCAGATTCAAAATAGCTAATGCCAGTGCATTTCAGCTCACTAATGCCTAGGATATCAGTCTTTATGCATCCCATTTCATTTTTTACAATTTCCAGTTTTCCTAGATTCATACTTCATACATTCCATGTTCTGATTATTAATGGATGTTTGTCTTCATTTTGAAAAGAATTGAAGACATTGGTAAGGAACAAATTTCTGAGAGTTGATGGAATGCAAATTGAAAATTTTCAACAAACTGACAAAGGCACGCACTCATCTATGCCAAGAAATTTGGAAGACAACTACCTGGAAGAGATCCATACTTGTGCTCATTCCAAAGAGAGGTGACCCAATAGAATGCAGGCATCATCAGATAATATCATTAATACCCCATGCAAGCAAAATTTTGCTAACGATAATTTTAAAATGGCTGCAACAGTACATTGACAGAGAACTTATAGCGGTTCAACCCGGATTCAAAAGAGGATGTGAAATGAGGGATATCATTGTGGACATCCAGTGGATCTTGGCTGAAAGTAGAGAATACTTGTTGTTGTTGTCGTTGTTAAGTGCCATCGAGTTGGTTCCGACCCATAGCGACCCTGTATAGGGTTTCTGAGGGTGTAAATCTTTACGGGAGTAGAAAGCCTCATCTTTCTCCCGCGGAGCGGCTGGTAGTTTCGAACCGCTGACCTTACGGTTCGCAGCCGGATTCGTAACCACTACGCTACCAGAGCTAAAGATGTTTATCTGTGCTTTGTTGACTATACAAACACTTTCAATTGCATGGATCATGACAAATTATGGACTGCATTGTTGTTGTTAGGTGCCACCAAGTCGGTACCAAGTTATAGTGACCCTGTGCACAACAGAATGAAACACTGCCCAGTCATAGGCCAATCTCACAATCATTGCTACACTTGAGCCCATTGATGCTGCCCCCATGCTAATCCATATCATTGGGGCTCTTCATCTTTTTTCCAACCCTCTACTTTACCAAACATGATATCCTTCTCTAGGGACTGGTTCCTCCCACCAATATGTCTGAAGAATGAAAGATGAAGTCTGGTCATCCTGGCTTCCAAGGAGTATTCTGGCTATACTTATTCCAACACAGATCTATTTGTTCTTTTGGCAGTCCACGGTACTTTAAATATTTTCCTCCAGCACCATAACTCAAATGAATCAATTCTTCTACCATCTTCTTATGCATTGTCTAAATTTTGCAAGCCTATGAGGTTATTGAACATACCCTGGCTTGTGTCAGGTGCACTTAGTCCTCAGTCTGACATCTTTGCTCTTCAGCACTTTAAACAGGTCAGCATTATGGAGAATGAGTATTCTGGAACACTTAATTGTACTCATAAGGAACCTATACATAGATCAAAAGGCAGTTGTTTTAACAGAACAAGGGAACACTAAATGGTTTAAAATGAGGAAAGGTGTGTGCCAGGGTTGTATTATTTCACCATACTTATTCAATCTGTAGGCTAAGCAAATAATCAGAGAAGCTGGATTATATGAAG